CCGGGAGCAGCTCCCTGGGAGGACGGGCTGAGAGAGCTGGGGCTGCTCAGCCTGGACAGGAGGAGGCTCCCAAAGGGGAGACCTCGGAGCGGCCTCCCCGTGCCTGAAGGGGCTGCAGGATGGAAGGGGGACAGGCCGATCATGAGGGCACGTGGTGACAGGACAAGGGGCAATGGATTTAAACTAGAGCAGGGTAGATTCAGATCAGACATTAGGAAGAAATTCTTCACCGTGAGGGAGGTGAGACCCTGGCCCAGGTTTCCCAGAGAGGTGCTGGAGGCCCCATCCCTGGAGACATCCCAAGTCAGGCTGGACGGGGCTCTGAGCACGCTGGTCCCGTTGAAGCTGTCCCTGCTCGGGAGGTTGGACTAGATGGCCTTAAAGGTCCCTTCCCTCCCAGCACGTTCTGTGTAAACTCGTAGTTGTTTGGCCCAGAAACTCAGGGCTGTGTTGTACGTGTGCTTGGACCGGAGCTTTGCAGCCGGGTGGTTCCGTTGCCCTGAGAGGAGAACACTGGTCACCGGTTCATCCTGGCTCCCGGCTCCCCTTCCCCAAACCACGTTCCCTGAAGCTCTTCTGTGGCCCCTGCCCAAAGCCTGGTGTGCCCGGAGCTCCGGGATGCTCCTACTCTCATAGCCCTGGAGCTTCCCGTGAGCAGAATACTCACTGGCTGCCAAGAGCACCGCAGGATCGAGCGGGGCTGGGCACAGCGGTGCCTGGGTCGCTGTCGTGCTTCCGAGATGTTCCATAACCTGGTTTTGAGCAGCTTTAGGTGAGAAGCCGGGTGCAAATCCCCAGCCTGTGGGGCACGGGCGGTCGGGCTGGCAAGCCTTGCCGACCCGTTTCCCCTCAAAGCTTTCATTTTGGGCCTCGGTGTGTTTATCTGAAGAGCCGAGGGGCTTTGCTTCCGCGAGGCCGCTGCAAAGAGAGTGAGCAGGGAGCACAGCGCTGCTCGGAGGTGTTCTCCTTGGCTTTGGGGTTCGTTCCCACGCGGCTGGAAGCCGATGTTAACGCCTGACCGAGCCCGCTCGGCTGCGATTCTTGCCTTGGTCTCACCAAGCCGACGTCCTGTGACGCGGACGAGCCAGTTCTGTCCCTGCTGCCTCGAACACCATTGTGCTGGTGAACTGGTTCATGCTTTGGAGCACCCCTCTGGATCCAGAAATTGCTCTGCAGGGTTTTTTTGAGGTCGTTAGTTCCCACGATTCAGCTTCAGCTGAGGGTGCGATTTGCTTCCTCCACCCGAAGCCAAGTGTCGGTTCCAAGAGCAGGACCTAGAAATAGTTTTTAGTTGACTTTGGGGCGGTTCACGTTCTACATTTTGTGTTTTGCTACATTTTTTTTTCCATTTGTTGTTTATTTAAACCCAAACAAACTAAAAAAAAACCACCCACCCTTAAATTAGTTTCGCATACTTTTGCTGGAGAAGGGGAGACTTCCCGGCATTTCCACGGAGCCCGGTGTCCTCAGTTCAATCCTAATGTTATTTGGAGGTTTCAATTTTGGAAGTTAAGTCCCTGGAGGTGATTTGGAGGCTTGAAGTCCCTGGAGGTGGTTTGTCTGGAGGTGGAAGCCTTCTCGCCGTCTCTTCAGCCCCGAGCGCCTTCCTTCGGCGTCTTTCTAACTCTTGTTGCTTGTTTCCTTGCAGACCCCCGTAAAAGAGCCCAACAGTGAAAATGTAGATATCAGCAGCGGCGGTGGGGTGACGGGCTGGAAGAGCAAGTGTTGCTGAACCTTCTCCTCGCTCACCAATCGCCAGCCACCGCCCCTTTTTTTCTCGCTGCGAAACAAACCACTCTGCCCGTTTTTAACCTTAAGCCCATGGGTTTGTTCCTCATCTTTAACAAGCTCCTGCCTCCCTTTCGTTTTCCCGTTTAGGACAGCTTGCCTACTCTAATTTTTTTTTTCTCAACGACGTGTATAGGAAAAAAAAAAATCATCTCCGTGACTTCATTTTATTTTATTTTTTAATGTACCTGCTCAGCTCACCACTACGTTTTGGTTGTATTATAGTCCCGTCCCTCCTGACATTAAACATATAGCAATCATATTCAACTCGATTCTGCAAATTGTATAAGAATAAAAGTTAGAATTAACAAGTTCTTTTGTACAACAGTGGAATTTTCTGTCATGGATCATGTGCTTGAGTCACCGTATTCTCTAGACGCATCAGCAAAAGAGCCAGGAAAACACTCATTTTTTTGCCTTGAGTCTGTGAACGGGGTTTATTTTGTCCTGTGCCTTATGTGGAAAGGAACTTTTGTTTTCGTTTTTCTTTTTTCTTCTGGTGGAAGCATGTGCAGGAGACATTATACCATCCGTACTTGACCATTTTAAAACGCTGAACTCTTTCGTGATCGCTTTCTGTAACCGTTGGTGTAACGCATCGAGGACAAAGGGTGGTGCAAAAAAAAAAAAAAAAAGAAAAAAGACAAAAAAAAATTACATTTAATCTGCTGTGTCTCCTTTTTGGTGATCTGGCCGTTCAGAACTGTTCCTGCTGCCATGATTTTACGATTTTATTTTGACTTTTTTCTCTTCACTCGCGGCTCTTTCCCTTTCGCCTGCATGCTGCTTTTCTTTGCCTTTCTCCATGGTGTGACGTGTTCGTTCAAAGGACGGCAACGCGGCAACGTTTGCCGAAAGAGAAAAAAATAATCGTAATGCAAAGCACTGATTTAGCTTTCAAGGTTAAGACAAAAAAGAGATGTTGAAGACCCCTACTCCTGTTCCCTGTAGCCGATGTCCGTTCAGTAGGATCTCTCCTCCCTCCTGCTGCGCGGGATCGCTCCCTGCATGCTCTCGTTGTCCCGGTGGAGGCTGATGTGGTTGTCACGTTGTGTGTCTGGATAGAACCCGCGGTTCCCAAACTGGCAGCAGGTAACGCCAACGTGGGCTGTGGGTTTTCTTCTTTGCTTTTCTTTTTCTTTTCCCCGCGTTCTCTCTCGCCGTTAGCCGCTCCGATGCGTGGTTCAGTCAAAAGGCTGAGTGATTTTTAAAAAAAAACACAACAAACCCAACCCATGAAGGAGGAAAAAAGAAGAAGAAGAAAAAAAGTTGGCAGTTTAATTTATTCCCTCCCCAAACTGTTTTTGCAGTGTTGGAGCTGAGTCGCCCGTCGGGGCCCCCCCGGCTCTGACTTCTCGTCCTGTGGGGCAAAAAAGCGATTTTAAATAGATGCTTCTTCCTCCCAAGCCTCGCGTCCTCCTCCCGAGCTCGTGCCGCGCTCTTGGGTTTGTTATTTTATTTCTTTTTTTTCGGACTGTCTCCGGTAACTAATGCGAGTAGTCAGTAATGCCGACTGAATTTTAATGAAATGCTGGTGGTTGTGACATGGGACTTCCCTGCAGGAACCCCACCGAGGGGTCTCCCTTTCCCCGCTCCCTTTTTTAATTTTTTTGTCATTATTTTTTTGTCATTACTTTTTGTCTGGGTGTGTGTTAACCCTTCCCAGCCGAGCGGCTTGTAAATAGAGTTACGGCTACCGTTTGGTTACACCTGCACTTTCTAACATTATCAAAAAGGGAAAAAAATGGAGAAAATATACATCAAGGTGTCTTTTTTTTTTTTTTTGGTATAATCCAACATGAGTTTTTTATTTGCTTCCCAGGGACTCGGCTCCCTCCGTGTAAACCCCTTGTAGACACCGTGTTCGTTGCGAGCAGGTAGAGAACGGGGCCGCTTGCTGGTTGCTCCTAGAGCTGCCACCTCTGTGTCGTCTCCTCCCTTAACCAAGTTAATAAACTGAAATATTTCTAGACGGTCTACTTCTGTTCCTGTCAAAAAAAAGGAAAATTTCACCGCGAGGCTTGGCTTTGTGGTGCGGAGCGCAAGGCCTGGCCGAGGAGGAGCAAGCAATGAGAGTTGATGCAGATGCTAAAAATAAAAATAATAATAATAGTAATAATAATAATGACATTGGAGGAATTCACAGTAACGTTATTTGTGCCGGTGTCTAAACTTCCTGCTCGCTAAAAACTAACGGCTTGTGAAACCTCCTCTTGGAAGACGCCCCCTCCCCAGCCTAGAAAAGAGCTTTTCCCGTGCCCGGTGCTGAGGCTTTAACCGAGCCGGGCTGCGGAGGGAGGCTCGGTTACGGCAAAAAAGAAATAAAATGTCGCCTGATTGAATTGGTCGTGATAAACTAAACCCAGAGGTTGGCTCCATCCTGCGACGCGGGCTGAGCGCTCGCTGCGTCGCGCCTCGGGGAGCTGC